CAAATTTATTTCTTTGTTATATTTTATAAGACTAGTGTATATATTTGAAAAGTCATTTTATGTCTGTATACGGCCGTGATTTATAATATGATCTGATCTAATTTTATTTTATTTATTTTGTGTGTGGAAGGATTAGATTAGATCCATCACAGGTTGGAAGATCTGTTCAGATTTTGTATATAGTTAGTTCAATACAACCAGAATCATGGATCAGATTTTATATTTTCATATAACGACTTTCGTTAAGATTGTAAATAGACAAGTTATATGTCCATCTCACCAAAAACATATCTCTATTTTCGTTTGAAATAAAAGCTATTAACTTGTTTATCAAAAAAAAAAAAAAAAGCTATTAACTCGTCTTAAAATTCCTTTGGTAGAAGAAGGCATTTAGGGTTAGTGTACAAATGTGCTACAAATAGTTATACCTGTTAGAAATAAGCATTCACTTCTTTGACAAAAAGAAGAAGAAAGTATTCACTTTTTCAAGTGATCATACACAAGTTCTTTATTAGGAAACAGCAAGACATTGCAAATTGCTCATTAAATCTAAATCTACTCGTTGTAGATTTCACAACCACATGAAGAAGAACGAGGTTAGTATTATAATATAAGTTCAGAAATATATTTAAGATATTGTTAGTTGTCTGATCAGTGGTAACTATGATTTGGTCTCGATTTCCTTTATTTTTTAACCATTGGTGAAGAGAATAATAGATGATTAAAAAAAAAGAATAATAAATAAGCAAATACGTTAATATAAAATTGTGTTGATTTTCAATTCCTTTCGTTTACGGTTTTGAAACTTGCATTTGAAATGAAAATATAGATTTGCACTCAAAACCAAATTTACGAAAAAATGTTAGGAAAACTTGGAATGATAGAGAAGCATGATCATCAACTAAAGTCGCAAGACTTTCCGGAACTGCAAGCTCTAAATGACCCAGCGAATAATCTCGACTACAACTTGTATTATGGATTAATTTTTTTTTTTTTGTCAAATCAATCTATTAGATTAATAATTTTAATATAAGTTATCCATAGCTATCAAAAGCGTACGTAAAGTATATATTAAATAAATAATCTAATGGATCCCATAATTTAATCCAGATCATATATACATTGTTACAAGAAATGAAGAAATTTATCATTTTGAATTTAATAAGATGTCGTAGCCATTCGAAATTTTTTGTCTGGATTGATAGATATTTTGTTTCCTCTACCGTCCTTTTGGCATTGATATAGAAAAATTTGTTTCCTCCACTGTCCTCAATTTTGGTAATATCGACAAATTTTTCTTCTTTTTATAAATCATTGGAGTTTCAGATTTTTTTGCTCATAATCTTTTCGGATCCAAAATCAACATGTCGATAATCCGATTTAAAGATTAATCCTCCGTACCAAAGGAGGTTTGAATTTAGAGTACAAAAAAACCAATCCCTTGTATTACCACTAGGCCACCACACTTTTGGTATATCGACAAATTTTATGAAGTTCTATCGTTTGCTTCAAAGAAGATAACCTTTTTTTACTCTCTTTCTTTTTCATGAAAGTATTCTAGGAAAATAATATAAATGTGCTTTTAATGATGATAGAGTTTAAGGGAGTAGTTTGAGAGTGAGATGCCTAAGCATACAATTGCCAACTTTAAATAATACTCTCTCTGTTTTTTTTTTTGTCAAAAATATAAACATCAAAAAAAATATATTTAAAAAAAAAATAGAATTTAATATATTAACTAAAACAATTCAATCAATTTAAAAAAAACTGCAAAAAATTATTAGTCACACGGTTTTCAATAAAGCTAAAAAGTACCTTAAAATAACAAAACATCTTATACTGTGAAACGAAAAAAAACTCCAAAACATCATATATTATGAAACAGAGGGAGTATAAAGATTTGATTGGCAGAGCATTTTAAAGAACATTATGCATTTTATCATTGAAACTTGATTCGTTGACAGAACATTAAGTAAAACATTTAGTAACTACAAATGCTCTCAAAATACTCCTCTCTCAATGCTCTCAAATGGAACATTTCCAGAACATTGATCTCTAAATATTTTTACAAAAATTAAAAATAAAATTATATAACTAACCAATTTATTTTATATTATAACAAAAACAAATTATATTAAATTTTAATATTTAAATTCATATTTATCATTATTTTATTTATTCTATTATATTAAGATAATATTATAATATAATACTAATGCAATTAAATATAATTTAAATTCGAAAATATTATAAAAGAAATTTATGTTATAATTTATAAATATAATATATACAATCATTTCAATAAAAGTAAATATACATAATGAAACAACCCGATCCTTTTTTTTTAACAATTAACATTGGACTCGAATTAGCATTTCCATAAATACTAACTC